GCCTATTACAGCTCTCAATTGAGTGTTATATGTAGAGCACAACCCGTATTAGAGAGAGAGAGAGAGCAATGTAGCAGTGGATGAGAGCCAACAAAATAAATAAATTGTTTGTCGCATACAATCTCTCATTCATATAACAGTTTTCATATTCTCTGAACTTTTACTTCACAGCAATTAATCTTATTTTTTATATTTCATTTTTGTTGATTAATAGACTATTTTATGAATTTATTTTCTCGGGATTTTTGGGAAAGCGTTTCGGCCGTCAAAAAGAGTTGTCACACATTGGATGCAGTTTTGCAGTGCATTTGGCAATGGATTTGGGAGTCTTATCCCCGATCACAGAACTCAAGCATAAATTCTGTGAGTGTTTGTCAGGCATGCAATGGTTAAGGAGTGGCAACTCATCTGACTATAGTTAGCGATAATATTGTACACAAAACTTAATATTATTACCAATGCCTTACAATTGCTCTGTTTTAGGGCACTGTTAGGCTTGATTGGAAGGAAGCAATTCTCATTCTCTCTCTCTCTCTCTCTCTCTCTCTCTCCTCAAAATTTTTCCCAATAATTGTTTTTATATAAATTGTTTTTCACTGACTCATGATATTCCCAATCCTATTATGAAAAGATTGAAAATATTTTTTATCTAAATATCAAAATATTTATTCAATACACTTATCCCTTGCATATCGAGGGGCGACATATGTGTGTCTCACAAACCAAATGCTATTATGAAAAGTAATACAAAAATACATCCATAAATCGCTTTATTTCAGTATATGTTATGTCAAATCAATTTCATATCAAACTTATATTCAATTTATTTATTTTTAATGAATAATAGTTTTGGACGAACTTTTAGATACATTTCCGAAATCCATTTGACAGATATTTGGTTACAGCTATTGAAGTATTGGTTTGCCGTTAAACCCAAATATAGTGGCCAAATAAAAATGCTATATAAAAATCTAATTATACACTAAATATATTGATTTCTTAACGTTTTTATATGTCTTGAAAAGTAGTGATTCATAAAAATTAATTCAAAACTATAATTGCAAAAGCGTTTAAACGTTCAGTTGTCTTGTCTTTCGAGCAAAAAACAACTAAATGCCTGTTTTAGTGAACAGAATATAGGAATCGCATGAAAATAGAGATGAAATTAATTGGATTCCTATTAAGACAGGTATCCATTCTCTCATGTAATAGAGTTTGGTTTTAAATTTCCAATAATTTTAAGGCAAGAGTTGTGCTGTGAATGTGTTGTCGAGTATAAAGTTATATATATTTCTTATACTCAAAGATAAAACACGTAATTCTGGCTATAATTTTATGCTAAATTTGGTGTTCATGTATGTCTTCGTGTGATGTCTGCACTTTCAAACACTTCATAACTTTTGCAATTATTTATGCATTTTCTTTACACAACTTAATGATCGCTATAATTTCATAATATTTTTATGGATAGTATTTTAGAGAGAGAGAGAGAGAGAGAGAGGCGACGAATTCTTTTATAATTTAATAAATTACTAATATTTGCTATTTGTTTGGAGAGAAAGAATTTATATAAAAAACAGTTCACATAAGCATTCATTAAACTTCCATAAAAATATTTTAATATATATTTTGGTTTGCAAAACGGAAATTCACTGTCAGTTGTTTTTATATATAGAGAGAGAATGTGTGCACAAAAATCAAATGAAGTTTTATCATAAGAATTAAAGCAACACAAAAAAGTTATCTATTTTTTATATTAAAAACTAAAAAATATGGTTTAGAATCGCAAATGTTGTCATTAAATATGTGGGAAAAAGAGATTTATATAGTGAACAGAAAGTCTAATGAGTTGCACATCTAATTATATACACATATAAATTATATGAATAAAAACTAATTTCTCATACAATATATATTTCTCTCACTTTTTCCCAAAGACTCGGGAATACTGAGACATTTCGGGCGAAAGAAGAGCCGGAGGACCAAAGTTTTGTCGCCAAACGCATAAAACTCTGCGCCAACGACGAGGAGGACCAGGAATTGGTGACCACATCGTCGCTGGACGACGATCTCGTGCCGCCACTGCAAGCCCTACATCACCACCAGAATCAGCTGCTGAACAGTCCGTTGGCCGACACAAAGTCCAACACTATATCGTCGTCTCCGAGCGCCAGCAGTGATAGCGGACACTGTAGTAGAGCTTCGCCTGACATCACTTCACTCACGACAGCCAATGGTATGTGAAATGTCACCACAAAATGTCTTGTTATTCACTATTGTATGTCATGTCATGCACTCTCCACTCCGTATCCGTCGATGAGATTATGCTGTCTCTCATATACGGTATATATTGCCGGTTATCTGTTGTTAACCAACAAATCAAAACCGTTAAGTTAGAGATCAGATTTTATTGATGACCCTTAAAAAAGTTGTCACAAATTTATGCATAGGTTTGCATATGTGTTGGTCTCACACAACCAAATACTACTGATAAGAGTTATGCAAACTGTTTAGGCGTTTGTGTGTTGTGTGCGAGTGATTGACTGACAACCCGTCAGCCGACAAAATGCTTCCCCGATATTTATACATATATTTATAGATATATACAATATATACTTATATACCCCAACATTTAGTACTGTATATAACAGTAAATTTCTCAAGTAGTAGTGAGCGAAGTTATCTCATCTCTCTCTCTCTCTCTCTCTCTCTCTCTGGCAGACAAACAGCACATATAACACACATTAATATGAACGGCACAGACCTATCGTAATAGGGATACTCCAAACAAATAGCAAATATTAGTAATTTATTAAATTATAAAAGAATTCGTCGCTTCTCTCTCTCTCTCTCTCTCTCATCTCAATCAGTGTTTGGATTTAATCCAAGAAATTACTTAAGATTCGTCTTTAAATTAAAACACATATATATTCTCATATAAATTATTTTACAAAATACTACTCCAATGAGTTGTGCCTTAAATTATAGCATCACTCACTCATATCACTTCACGGCTACAAAACAAATGGTATAGACTTCAGGCATATATTCAATGTTCAATTACAGTCATATATAACTGAAAAATATCTTAATTAATTATAGGATATATTTAACAATTTTTATTCTTGTGTTTTACACATATTATTGGCTAAAGTTATTAAAACTTTCATATATTGGCAAGAATTGTGATATTACGGCTCATTTTGTATGATTAAAATAACGGCATTTGAAATGTTTATAATTAATTTAAATACGCTTTTATGTCGTGTATTTGTTTTATTCACAAATGTATGTAATTATAAGAAAATTTATGTAAAATACAAAATCCTTATTATATTATTAGCTTTTTATATATTTTTCGTACCATTTATTCAGTATATTAAACACATTTATGCAATATTTTTAACCACAATTCTATAAGAATAATGTTGTTTATAGAAAGTTCGGCAATCTCTCCCCCCCCCCAGGCTATATGTGTGTTTAATATGAGATTACAACTTAAGTCTATGGCTATACTTTAACATGGGGCTAATGTTATCCTATGGGAAAAATTTTCAATTGCTTTCTATGGGATTACAGCTTAAGTCTATGGCATAGGTTTAACGGGGACCGTGCTAATCTTATGGAATAATATTAAGTCTATGGCAATACTAATCTTATGGGTAATGCTAAGTCTATAGAAATGCTAATACTATGCATCCCCCGAATAGTGATCAACGTATAGCATTGCTGTGAACCTTGTTTGTTAATCCAATACACTATAAGTAAAAACATTTTCCATTCTAAGCATAACTAAATCTATTTGTGAATATTTTGCCGCATTCTTATGCAAACTAAAGGCAAACCTCTCTATTCTCTCACTTGGAAAACATATTAAGAGAAGTGTTTTTGCGTAAAAATACACATAATTTAACGAAAGACATGGATTGAGATGTTGTCCTTTTTTGACTGACAGCTTATGTATATTAACACAAAATCAACTCATATTTGTGTTAACTTTAAAAAAAGAAAAACTTTAGATTTTCGGATACATAAGCGATGCATATGTGCCACAAAAATGAGCTGAAAATTAGACAAAAATGAACATATTTTTCATTACTTAAGAGCCGTTTCCACAATATATTTGTATTTATATGTTTGGGAAGGGATTTAGTCTTTTTGTGTCACTCATTGTAGCGCTTATTTTTGTGTCCAATTTCTTTCAAAGTGTTTGCTTTAATAGTTACAAGAATTGCGAAAAAAAACTGTTCAATTTTCATTATCTGAACACAAAAACAGAGTATTATTTGAGTCCCTCTTCTTCTTCGTGTTGTGTTGACAACGAAGGGCTCGTATATTATTGTGTATCTAATATCACGGCTCTCTTATTGATATAATTTAAGTATTTAAATAATTAATTCGTTTGTTTCGCATATTAAATATCATATTCACATATAAATCATGTTAAACTATAAATAGAGAGTCGGTTTGTATTTAATTAAAACTATATATAACACCATATTATTTGCGTTATTAATTAAAATATGCTTTATCTATTTTTGTATAATGATCAGGTGCGCTCCAGCCTATGGCCAGTGCCAGTGGTGAATCACCAACTGATTACCATAACCATTGGGCAATGTGTGGAAACGATGGTATGTTTTTTACACAAACCAAATATAACCAAAATGAAAATATACATTAAACCCCAGAATTTATAGCCAGAATAACATAAACCATAAACGATAACAAATAAATGATGGATTTTTTATAATTAAAATACATTTAATACTTTTCTTACATATGTATAGTGAAAGTGGACTCGACTCTACTCTCATCACATGCTCTCTCCGACTCTGATTGCAATATCTATTCAACTGGTGTCGCCGATCATCTGAATTCATCATACGCTGAGCTCAGCCCAACCCATCCCACATCATATCCCTATTACGATAGGTCTGTGCCGTTCATATTAATGTGTGTTATATGTGCTGTTTGTCTGCCAGAGATGAGCGAAGAGAGAATCACTGTTTGTCTCTCTCACATCACTTATGAATATATATTTTTAGACATTATATAACTGTTAAGAATATTTTCGTCTATCGCTTATCAAATATATACGGTTATATGAGTTGTGCTTTACTTTTATGGTTAAAACCAAATCAGTTATAACACCACTAATAGGGCTGACAGTTAGAGAATATATATTATTATTTTTATCGTTTTGAATTATATATATAATATTTGAATCTAAACAATTCCAACATTGTAAGTTAACGTTGTGTGTCGTTTACTATATATTGTGCAGAATTGACAGCATGCAGGCCGCCTATCAAAGTACTTATAGTACGGGATCAGCCGCCGCCGCGTTCGCTGCCAATTATTACCCACAAACCAATCCCTATGGCGTTATGTCTCAATCATATAATGGTGAGTGACTTTTGAGCATTATATCACTTGAACACAACTCTCTCCACAAAGCAATCAAATAAATTATTATAATAAACACATGTGTGTTGTGTTTATTTCCCACTTTATTTCTTCCACTCAATTATTATAAGCCATAGTTTATGATGTAATTAATTGTTGATTTATTTGTTGGTATATATTCCCTGACCTCACATACCATTCGGTTCTATATTCCTATTAATTTGTCTGCATTTTACTATTGATTAATATATTGGTTGTGATATTTGTTGGATATTTTCCTTACATTTAGCTTTTGTTTAAAAATTGATATTTCACGTTTGATATGTTCACTTGAATCCAATCAATAAATACAAGTTTGTTTGAAATTTATTTATTATTTATTTTTCCAAGACTTCTGTAATACGAGAGTAATTCTCATAGTTCTCTATATGTTTCCCATAATATATTTCACACCAGAAAACTATGCGAAACAAACCAAACGTATTATTGAAAATGTTGTGTAATTCATACATCATTTTGAATATCGCTTACAATTTGTTTGAATATTTTCTTATGTCTGATAAATAGCATAAGAAGTTTATTAAACTGTCTATGAGTTTGTGAACTATTTTCTCTTTCAACAAATTTTTTCAATGAATTGTATTTGTGTTCAGACATATCAATGATATAATCTCTTTCATTTGGAAATACTGTTACATTTCCTATACTGTGGTTAACTGTTACCCGAATATTATGGTTATATCTGATCGAAATTTTAAGCTTTTGTTTAATATAGAGTTCAATACAATTGAATTTTGTGATTGCATTGTAAAACATGACATAGAAATAAGACACTTGACTCCCATTCCGACTGTTTTGGCGATATATATGGTAAGGACTAGCCATTAGTTGTAGTAAAATAAGGCCGTCGTCTATACACACATTGAAACACAGCCTAAAAACCTTTAGGATTGCTGATAGAGTTGAGTCTCGTATCCAATATCAATGCCTGAAAAATAGTGTTGCATAAGTCGATCGTAAAAAAGCAAAACTATCGATGGATTGAAATAAAAAATCTGAATATTAGATAAAGACTTAGTTTGCGTGTATTAATGATGTAATTAATGATTTGGTATTTGTATGAATGTATATATTTCTAGGTTCGCGCTCAATAAGCTCTCAATGTAAGACGAGCTCATCGGCAGCACTGGCAGCTCAGGCCGCTTATCTCAATCCATCTCCATTTAGTACAACTTTTAATAACAGCAATTCCCAAACTGCACAAAACGCCTATTGCTATGGTATTATAGTTTCGTTTTCTTCCTCCACTTTTCTTCCCCTCCGATTCCCTCCTATTCTTCAAATTATCTCCAAATTCATTAGTTATAGAGAGATGTGTTCACTCTATCTATCACTACAATATTATGCGTGAATATGTGTGCGAAAAACCTGCTTATCTCTTATCTCACGGTATACTAACCATTAGGCTATCCGTCGACGTTCTCCAACACCGGCGCTAACTCTCAGCTGCAGACCAATTGTCAACAGTCCTCAGCGCTGGACTACCCGTACGCCGGGTTCGGCCACTCGACCGGCTATTCTCCCTATTATAACACCGGTTACGGCAGTTATATTCCAAACACAACGTCTAATGTAAATACCTCTCCATCGCCCGCATCAGCCCTCACACTATCCTCCGCCGCCAACTCCTCCACACCTAACGCCACATATCAGTTGACACAACTGTCACAACAAACAGGTTTCGTATTTAAAATGCAAAAATCCTGTTCTGAAAAACCAAATGTATTAAATATATGCAAAATCTAAACTTTCAGATCAAAATTTGTCACATTATCATCACATAGACGACTGTCCATCGCCTATAAAGGCTGAAATTCATCAAAATGCCAGCACTGGAGGCGCCAAAAAAGGTAAATGACGACTAAAACACACGCAATACATATAATTTACACGTAATGTTATTCAAGCCTTTTGTATATACGAGGCGTGAGATTAGATAAGGCAATAGAGAGGGAATATATAGCTATAGAGTCTATCAGAATAAAACCTAAACTATAGGAGAGTTTTTGTTACATTTGGTGCATAATTAGTGATACAAAGAATTTATGACATGAATTTGTGGTATAAATGCCACCAATGCTTGTATGGCATACAATGTATACAATACAGGGATAATACAAAACCCGTAAAACAAACTTACCTGTACTACAAGTATGCAAAGCCGAGATCATACCAGTGCTAAGCGCTGGTAGTGTTCATTGACTGCTTTTGGAAATGTTATCAAAAATGATCAATTGATACGATTGTTTTGCCCAACACTATAGGCACGAAAGGGTCGGGTCGTAGGGGCCGTCGACCGCCCAACCCGTCACCGGAACCCGAGAATAATCTCGAGCGCGTGTTTGTATGGGATTTAGACGAAACTATTATTCTCTACCTCTCGTTACTGACAAAATTGGTTTGTATTTCATTTGATGTTTTTTAATTGGAAAAGTTTTTTCCTGGTTTTTAAACAATTATATGTTAAACAATTATATACAAAAATGTACATTTTATTTAATTTATGCAAAACAATGTGGTGTAAAGAATTGAATCAAATGGAGAATTAATTTTGTTGAATATTATTATTATTATTTGTTAGAAGCGATGCATTAAAGTTATAGTGAATTTTTGTAGAGAGTCTTAATGGATGAGTGAAATATGAGACTTAAGTTTGGAGGCAAACCATTTCATATGTTTGCTCGAAGAGAGCATTTGAAAGCATTCGCCGCTCGCATTATTCTGTGCCCTAAATCAATATCTTTCTCATATTGTTAGCCATTCTCTCTCACATTCTTTTGTCTATAAAGAGAGACAGGAATCGAGAGCAACGTTGAGAGAGAGAGAGAGAGAGTACTCTTCGGCGAAGCCATCGCTTTGGAAATTATAATTACTGTCATTAAAAAGAAATAACAAGAATTAAAATTCATTAAACAATCCGTTTATTACATTATAAATTAATTGATTTTTAAAAATANAGAGAGAGAGAGAGAGAGAGAGAGAGAGAGATTACACTATAGAGAAGCGCAAACTTCATAACTCAATTCATGGACAACAGTCGACGACTACAATAACTTTTATTCATTAAACTGAAAACGCTTTTAATATAATGTTGTTTACACTACAAAAACTAATATAATTTTTGTACATAATTTTCATCACACACTCTCTCCTACTTCCCTCTCATCCAAACATCCAAACTATTTTCTAAGGCATACATTATTTTCGACTACTGTTTGGTTAATACCCTTTATGTTTGTATATTACAGGATACGAGTCATCACGATTGCAAATGTATTCACTGTATTGGCAGTCAATTAGAGTTACTCATTGAGCGGTTCGCTAAGAATCACTTCTTCCTCAATGACTTGAGAGTAAGAATACCGAAAGAATGCGGTTTTGTTTGTTAATTATAAGACAAACAAACAAATTATGGTAATTGTACTCATAATATACATGTATATCCACCAGAACTGTGAACAGGAGCACGTGGACGACGCCGCTGCCGAGGATAATGGCCAGGATTTAAGGTAATCTTCACTATCGGTTGTCTTATCCCTCGTCTCAAACTTGATTTCATAGTTTTGCTTTCGGCCAAAAAGTTTTTTCATTCAAATTCCCACACAATATGTGTTATGCCCTGACATCTAGTATTTGAGGAATACATTTACAATACATTAGAAGTTTTTTTTTATCGCAATGAAATAAAACGAGACTTTGAAACCGATTTATAGCACAAAAGTTTTCTAATAATAACATATGATTAAAGCCGAGCCCTAACCTCAACTTCAAACCAAAAATATGGATAAAAAACTTTTTCTTCTTGTGTTTTAATTCACAAACCCATTGCCTAAAGCCTATACCAATGATACTTACGCATAGAAAAAAACATCATTTAATAATTTATTTGATATTAATTTTTTTATTTATTATTAAAATTTCAATTAATGGTTAGCTTTGGTTATGTCTTATAATGAATTACAAGCGAATGATTGAATATTATTTAATGATTGTCTTCATTATACAACATTTAACCCCAAAGTTATAAATATTTTGCCAGAAAAATACTTATTCATGAAAAAACCCTTTTTATATGAGAAAAGTATTTTTAAAAATCAATTAATTTATAATGTAATAAACGGATTGTTTAATGAATTTTAATTCTTGTTATTTCTTTTTAATGACAGTAATTATAATTTCCAAAGCGATGGCTTCGCCGAAGAGTACTCTCAGCCGGCCATCGGTGTGATTGGACTCAATCCGTGTCCCATTCGGGGTAATAACGATTCGTGTAGGAAAATGGCCTTTCGGTACCGACGGATCAAAGAGGTCTACTCTCAGTACAGAGAAAATGTTTCAGGTATTCAACGCATACCATCAATGATATCAATACACTATCATTGAGTTATTTTTATTCAATTAAGTTTTGGTTTATTTAAATTTTTTGTAAAATAATATGCGTTTATTTTAAACAAATTTTATATTATTTGAATGATTACGGCTGTAATTAGTACTCAATTACTGGTGTAATACATTCTCTCTGAGCGATCAATCAGTTTATTAAATAATAAACAAAATTTTACAACAAATCGCTGACACTAATCGAGAAATCATGAATAATAGACTTTGTAATGCATATTAACAACAGGAATGACCAGTTTCTTCAGTTACACACAGAATTCAATTTATAATTTACATTAAAAAGCACTATATTTTTTGCATAAAAACATTTTTAATATTTTTTCCACTGTGTTATATACTGTGGCCATTAAACCACGACATAAAAACATAATCCAATGGTTATATTACAAAACATTAAAACGATATCAGATTTATAATAAAGAAATTAGTTTATGGTGCGGTTGTGATGGCATTTGAGAAATGTACAAATGTAAAAATATATATATAAAACTCATCTTGATAATTTGGTTAATGTTAAGATCACTAAATTATATAACAAAGAAATTACGTAATTTTATTTTATTTTTAAAATTATCAAATTTCTAAATTAGATCTATTGAGTGGACCCGAGAGAGAAAAGTTGTATGATATCCAACGGGAATGGGATGTCTATACCGAAGGCCGAACACTTAAAGCACTCAAATGCTTACAACTAATCAATTCGAGGTTTGATTTGTGCCTAAATATAAACACATTGATTGACAAACAAATTAAACAATGCTTTTATTTAATTATAGGCCTAAATGTATGAATGTTTTGGTCACATCACTTCCATTGGTAGAGTCTTTGGCCAAAGTGTTGATTTTCGGAGTGGCGCCTAATTTTGCCATTGAGAACATGTATAGTTCAGTCAAAACAGGTATTATATCTAATTAATATCAATGGATATATAGTATCCATTCTTCCGATTTTAATCAATGCTAATTAAATACTAATTTATTTTCAATCTAAAGGCAAAGACCATACTTTCCAACGAATAGTGAATAAATTTGGCAAAAAGTGTACATATGTTGCGATCGGCGATGGATTAGAAGAGAAAAGCGCCGCTCAAAAGGTATTCAAACATTTTTCCCAATCTATTGTCTGATCAATGGATTGATTATTTAATTCAACACAACATTATATCACAAATTATATAAAATATATACTTAACTGTACTTTCATTGATATATAGCTGGACATCCCATTCTGGGAAGTGACGTGTACGCATAACCTGGATCAATTATACAATGCATTAAGTTGGGGGCATCTATAAAATACAGTTATAAATTATATTAATTATGATAATTTTTAACATTAATATAAATGTACAAAAATATACAGTATATATAATATCGATTTCTTTATGTTTTTAATACATTTGTCTGAATGTCTAATTTGTTTTTTCTCTTCGTAATTACATTTATATAATGTTTGAGATATTATCTTAAGAATAGCGTAAAAATATATAAACATTTATTAATGCAATTAATTATAAAATCCAAAAATATACCCATTATTTCAGAAAAAAATTCAAAATCCTTTATACATATATTTTAATCACTCGAAACACTCGTAAATCATTTGTGAAAATGTTTTTCTTTTATTAATTTCAAAGATTTAATTAGCGTTTATAATAATAATGATAATAATAATCACTATTTATACCTGGAAAATAAAACTACATGTAAAAAATGCAAGTCTTTATTACCGTAATGAGAATTTTTTTCTCATTTTTTAACGTTTGATTTGTTAACTAATAAATCAATTTAATTTTAAAATGCTATGCATTTGTGATTTGATGTGTTATAAAAGTTATACCATTGAATGCTATTGACTGCCAATGACTATAATGTCCTTCCAGTCAATTGATTTAAAATGTTAATCAAGAAATCCGAGGATCGGATATTAGGCTCACATTTATTATGTATACCACTCTAACGATGAGGTAATTTATAACCCGGGAGTGTAGGCGTCGAATGTATATAACTGTAAGCTTTTATCCATTATATCCGTATATTATAAAAATTAATATAATTCAATACATAGTAATTCAATGAGAATAATGGTAAGCGAATGAGAAATATTTTTATGGATTGTGTCCTTATTTATGGATTAAGTCATAGCTTCACGTAATTCAATGTAATAAAAATTGATTTAAAACTTTTTAGCAATATTTAGCAATATGGTAATGCAATCGTTACGAAACCCTTTGTTCAAACACATCATATCTTCACAGTTATCTATTATAAATACTTTTCATTAGTGTTTTTTTATTTTGTTTGACAATTATTTTATTGGGAAAGTTTTCCTAAACGATTGTAATTTGAATATAGATTTTATGGTTGCATAATGTTATACGGGCTCTGAGTTGTGTTAATCTGAGAAATTTTTTTTTGTTTTGTTGCTCTTTTTGAAAGTAACAAGTATTTCAAAATTACATTTTGATGATTACATTGACTCTCGCTTTTTTGGGTTCAAATCCAAATGTCTATTTCGTCAACGGATTTAGATTTGATTAAAATGACAAAAAAGTTTTCGCCACACATTAAGCGTCAGTTCTTTTCCTTTGACGCTAAAAATGGCTAAAAATAATTTTCTAAATCTATGAGAAAAAGTTATTTTCATTGTAAAGAAGTCATCAAAAATAGCATTCATTAACAACAATAAAAAATACAAAAACAATTTTATAGTTTTTCGACGATTTTCGGCGATCTTTTTCGGAAAAATAGTCGAATTGTTCCCAGAATTTGATGACATTTGAAATATTTTTATTTTTATACTTCAGTTGAAGAACTTATTTTCGTAAACATCAGTGAAGATCAGTGGATATTGGAGAGAGAGAGAGAGAGAGAGAGAGAGAGGTGCTTTTTATGAGGCATATATTGCATTACGTG